GGTGACTTTTCAAGCTTTCTACTTAATACCTCCTTCATGGAGCCACAATCTTATCCAGTTTGTAAAGTAATTGGAGATCCTTTGGCATGCAAGGTATTATAAGGTGGTATTATACTAAAACACTGCACTGTTGCTGCAGCTACTCAGTTTCAGTTAATTTGTTCCAGCAGTTTGAGGTTGCAGGTGTAAAGACTGATGTAGTGATTTACTATTCTCTGTGTTTTCTTTTTTGTCATCATGGTTAACTCTGCCCACACATTACTGCTTAATCCTGCCGATTTTTATCTGCTATCTCTGCTTAAGACATAAGAAAAATCTAGTATTGCCCAGAGTTTTGTGCACACACTCAAGCCTAGCCCTACAAATTGAGGGTCTCATGTGAAGGTGTAGCTGAATTAAACCCTTAGGGCTCAAAGCAAATAACCCCTATTAACTTGAATTATCTGCCAGGTTTTTAATTAAAGGTTTAGCACTGACTTCCACCCAGTGCTTCTGTGAAAGCTTCAGAAATGAAAAAAAAACTTTAAAGTGAATTATGTGTCACTTTATACTGTCTAGATGTTTCTTTTAACTAAATTTCAGAAAAGTTGAAGATTACCCTTCACCATTCAAACGTACAAGATTCCTCAACCCCAAGAGATGACTCAGGCTAAAAGGAAAAACATCTTTCTCTCTCGTGCTGTTTCCCTACTCACTGGCTCTTGGTAGGGCAGATTCAATGGGTCCCTTTCCCCCATTTGTCAGTTTTTGGTGATCGATGAGTTTTGGTAGGTCTAAGAGTGCTGCAGCAATAGGTGGGGCCTCAGGCATGCTCAAGGGAGGATCCAGGATTTCCCAAAGGGGGTGTGGAAGCAGCAATCCCCACTGCAGGGGTGGCTACACCCCCTGCTCCCAGCTTCTTGTGCTCCACCAGTACAGGCACGCCACACTGTGGGAGCCTCTGAGGAGTTTTTAAAATCCTAAAGCAAGTTAAAATCCCCTCCACTGGCTTACCACCATTAGCTTATTTCCCTGGCGGAGTGGTAAGAGATGTTGAGTCCCTTCTCAACTAATCACTGCTCCATGAAAATGAAAATGATGTACTTCTTCTGCATTTAAGGCCTACTGCACCCGTGAGAGTAGAGAGAAGCATTTAGTTGAGGGTTATGAATGCCTATCATAAAAGGCAACTGTTGTGAAGTGTAAGTGCTGATAGGGCTTCCACAATGTGGGACTTTTGGAAAAACACACTGGTCAAATATCACTTACCTGGAGTGGTAAGGTTGCTGTAGCCCTGAGGGTCCAGGAGATATTTGAAAAGCAAGGTTTTTCTGTGACACATCTTTTATTTGGCTAACTGTAAAATTGGAAAATATTTTACATAAGCTTGTGGGCACAACGACCTGAAGAAGGGCACTATGTGCTAAAAAGCTTGTTTAACTTCTCGCCCAAGTATGCAGTTGGTTCAGTTAAAGACATCCCTCCCAATATGTTTGCTTCACACTTACCTGGAGTGAGTTGTGCACTGTGTGTCTGTTTTCACTCTCATGTTAGCTGGAGCATAAAGGAGACTGCAGGGTGTGATCGTAGTTTCCTCTTGAACTTTTTTCTCGCTACCAGAAGCTACTTTCTCGCTACCAGAAGCTACACTTGAGGTTTCTGAGCAAACAAAAATGGCTTCCTTTTCTCACCGATCCCTGTATTATATTTGTCACCATTCTGAAATTAGCAGCGTAGTGGGGGATGGTAAATGATAGCAGTTGAAAGGTGAAGGGTGGGATGAGGACTACGGGGTGGGGGGACAATAGCATGAAGGATGGGTAATGATGAAGGTAAAAAGCTGGGAGGAGGAGGAGGAAAGATAGCACTGCTGAGAAAAATGAGGGAAAGGCAATTGCAATTCACGATAGTGTGAATCACACATTAGATCCCATTGCACCTTTGCCTGCCTATGTAGAGGGGACCTAAGGGAGTCAGCCATTCTCTCCCATCAGGGAGATGAGGAATGGGGGGCTGTGGGATGCTGGGAGGGTCTCTCGGTTTTTATTGTGGCTGGCTAGGCATTAATATTGCCATAGAACACAAAGCAGTTGCTGTTTCAGCCAGCAACTTTTTCATGGCAAATTCACCATTTTTATCCCCTGACAAACTAATGCCTAGTCAGTCACAATTTGTTGCAGGAAACTGTTATATAGACCATGCCAAATGTAACATCTGCAAGGCCCTTAGACTCTAATTCCATCTGAAATTAAAACAAAGTCATATGTCATGAATGCTTTACCATTGTAATAGGGTTAGTGTGTTGTTATAGCTGTTATGGTCCAGCAAAAATGCAAGAAACAAGGGGCATTTAGGTGATCTTTTCATATTGGATTAACTATAGTTGGGAGAAATGTTAGACAAGCTTTTGGGCACTAGTGCCTGGCCTGAGGAAATATGCCTTGCTTCTTTCTGTCATAACGCTGGTACCAGAAAAGTAGATTCAAACTGTGTTTAGGGGTAAAGTAGACCTTTCATTTGAAACTGTTTCTTTAAAAGATGACACTGTAGTGAGCCACTATAGTGCTAAATGGGTCTATGTCAATCTATGTTTTATATGCAAATATCATATGGAAGTGAACAGTAATACATAGAAAGTAGAAAATATTTACATAGCTGAAGATCCTTAATGAAAGTTACTTTATTTGACCTTTTACCAGAAGGTTTTTGTATAATGTTTCCATGTGTCATTTAGTTTTACTCTTTTTTTTCCAAAAATTTTTGTTTGATATCTGTTATGGGAGATTGTATTCCAGTGTACTCAATATTACTTGTAAACCAGAATTTGGTAAGCCAGATGATTATAGTTGAGTAATGATAGTCTACAAAAGACCTTAAGAAACGAGAGAAAATGTAGATATATCAAAAAGCATAAACATTATTAGTAGAGATACCAGCTTGTTGGATGGGTACATGAAACCTCCGTGTGAAAAATCAGATTAATAAAACTTGAAAAGCAATTTTCTCACAGAATATTTTTCCAGTGCCTGCTAAAGAAAAGAAAGCTAGTACAGAATTGGAAAATGTGACTTTTACAAGGACTTTTTCCCTTCCCCAGAAAAGTGTTCTCATGAATTTTCATGTGTAATCTCAGTGCAATTATTACCCTGATTCAAGAATGTATACTTAGAACAATGGTTAAGTGTATGCATAACTCCTATAAAAGTCTTGTCTAAGTATGTTCCTGAAGTACAGCCTATCTGTACAAATTTCTTAAAGTTTGCCACTCTTTTTTGATGGGGCTATTTCAACCACATACCCTAGTAAAGTTAAACATCTCCAAAAGCAAGAGGGTGTATCAGAAGGGTATATAATAATGAAGAGCTGGCATATTCTTTTATTAATGTTTGAAATTGTATCTCTTCATGTGTTAGAATGAAGAAAGGTTTCCCAAAATAAACTCTTAACCAAAGAATAAATATTGATTGTGTTTGTGTTTAATATCAGCTGGTTTTTTTTCAATTTTCAACCATTCTTCTTTACTCATTTTAACTTTTAAAAAACCTCCCATCTCTTATTTTCCAGCATATAAGGATATATGCTTTCAAGATGCATCATGTACCTCAAAGTTTATGCTAGAGTGCATTTATCTCATTTTATCCATTTTTACACAGTTAAACAAAGCATGTTCACTCCAAATAAGCTCATTAATTGTTAACAGATGTCACCATTAGTTTCTTGAGAGGGGTCACAAACTTCACTTGTCACTGAGCACAAGTGTTTAAAGTTTTCTTTGGAGGCCATCTATTTATCTGACCAACTGTTTTGTGGGAGAGCTGTTTACTGGGCTGTTCAAGGGGAAATAGGTTAATTTTTATTGAAGATATCCTTTGGGGACATTGATGAATATGTAAGCTTGAACAAGTCACTTCTCAGTTCCCCATGTGTTAAGTGGGAATAATATGTTCAAAGAACCAACCCTACTGGATAATGATCAAGACAATGGGTCATGTAACTTGTCTACTGTTTTATGTATTTTCTACTCTAGGGCATTTATACTCATTTACATATATTTCTAGTTTCCTGTTGGTCCATCATTAGTCATCTTTGAACTTGACCTATGCCACTCAGGAAGAGGAAAGCTAAATTCATAAATGCTCTGTTAATGAAAGGGACACCGAAGAGCTGGCCTGACTGTCAAAGTTTCAATTAAAAGAGTGGTCAAGGAGGGCAATCTTGCCTCCATATTTTAAGCACTCCTAAATGTATTTCATTCTCTTGTTCAAAATGGTTGTGTTCTTGTTTCCCAAGACTGGGGCATACAGGACAACAACTTTTCATTTCAGTTGTCCAGCCCTTGAATATATCCCTTTTCTTTTGTCATTTCTGGAACACAATGCCAATCTGATATAAATTTTTAATGCTCCTGTTTGGACTAGAGAGCTCTTGTCCCAAAGAGCTTTTTACCTATCTACTTAACGGGTGCTCTGTTTCCAGCCTCCAGTACCATGTAATGCAGCCCATGAGGTTACCCATGGATTCTGTGGGGACCCCAGGGGCTGTGGCCTCTGCACACCGGAGCTCTGTGCTGCCCCTGCCCAGCCTTAATTTCTATTTCAAGTGGATGCAGTTTACCTGAGAATGGGGCAGTTTTGTCTGAAGAGTGCATCTGCCAGTCTCTGGTTCTGATTGATTTCTGGAGGCTTTTTTCCTGGACATCTGGTACTGACAGCATTTTTATCATTTCTCCATCTCATTTAGCTGTAAAAATCATCCCAGTTGCCTCTGAACTTTCTTAAAGGGAGACAGTTATCCTTAGTTGTCAGCAGTCCATATTGGTGGATGCAGCAATTTGAGTGGGGAAAAAATAGCCAGTAAAGTGATGGTTGATCTTTAGATGGTTGAGATACCTCTTTTCCATGCCCCAGTTAAAGCTAAACCACAAAATAAAGCAGATATACTGTCTTGTCAGTGTGTGTTCAGACTTGATGCTTGATGTTTTGTCTTTATGTTAATATGTTTCTTGTTTTTTATATGCCCAGATAACTTCTACAGAAATTTCTGAATATTCATCTGATAGTGAAAATCTGGAAGATGATCAGGTGGATATGGAAACTATTAATTTAGGATTAACCAAAAAGTTACAATCAAATTCTGAAATGGATTTGGGGCAAGCTACAGGAAGATCTGCAAATGACTGGCTAAAATCTGCCCAAGCTCTTCTGCAGACTCCTAAGAAACAACCAGACAAGTCCTCTAGCACACTAGAAGATTCTGCAAAGAAGAGAAAATTGCTGAGGTAAATTTACAGTTTTTATAAAGTTGATTTCTTGTATAGCAATAAATAAGAAAATATTGATTTTTTTGAAGTGTCATTTAACAATATTTGATGCCCCTTTGACAATCACACCACATTAAGTGTTTTATTTCTCCGTTTTGACCACTCTGAAAAACCGCTGGCGGTATGGATTTGTAATTTCTATGTAATAGTAAGGTGTAAACATATTGGAAATGCATAATCTGAGCACCAAGCTTCACTTCTACTTTGGTATTGACTAGCTAATGTTGGTATTGCCTTCTGGGTCCCCCTGCTCCATTTTATTATGGCAATCTGTGAGTGGTGGAACAAAAACTACATATTATAGGAAAGATGCTCTGACTTCGTTCATAAAAGAAAATGTAGAGTGTAAGGAGCATGCTTAAATGGAATAGTCTTCCTATCCTAACTACACCCAGCAGTATAGTTTTCCCATGTATTTCTGGAAAACGTAGAATGAGAACTTGACTAAAAGAACAAAACAGCTTATTTAACATTACAATGGTCTTGTTTGCTTCAGCATTTTTGTCACTTTCCCAACATTGTAATATCTCCAGTTCCTATGATTCTTTTGGTGATGGACATGTGGAAACAAAACAGGAAATTCCTTATACAGAGAGTTTAATTTACAGAATCCTAAGTCTGGAAGGGATCCCAAAGGTCAAGTCTAACCTCCTGTATAGATACAAGATGACTTAATCCTCAGCTATCCCAGACAGATTCCTCATCTTAAAAAATTCCAGTGAAGGAGAGTCCACCAATTCCCTAGGCATGTTGTCTTATTATCCTGCTGCTCTGACAGTTAGGATTCTTTTTTCCTGAGACTTGTTCTTTTATCTGCCTTGTCGGTATTGTCTGAGCTTTCTTCTCTAGACCAAAGGGTGCTCACCCATGGGGCTTCTGCACTTGGTTCTGTTTTGTCTAGTTAGTGTCTGGAACAGACACAGCTTCTATCCACATTTTAATAATGGATAAGAGCCTGGTGTTATAATTGAAGGCTGGAGGACACAGCTATCTGTAGCTAGCTGAACTCTTTCCAAACTGGTACTGTGGGCAGAATATGCTGAGAGAAGATCAGCCAGGTAGCATAGCTGTCATGTACATTTGAATTCTAGTGCAAGACCATAATCCAACAATCAGATTCATTTCAGTGTGTTCACCTTCTGTGTAGTCTTGTGCTAAGTCTGAAGTCAGTTTCCCTGAATTTTAGTAGCGCCACTCCAGATGAATGTCTTCATTTTTTTTTCTTTTTCTGGTGTTCGAGGTGACCAGGATTATTGTCCTGGGTGGTCTTCAGCAGATGTCGGGGCTAGGTCATGTTTTCATGGCAATCATATATACTGTTAACATCACCCACATGTTGCTTTGTAAATGCTCTGGGTTCTGTAGTTTTACTTGTATCTCTTGATTTGCAATGCTCTTGCTTCTACATCAGTGACTGTGCATTCCATTGGCTGGCATTCTTGTCTCCACCCAACCTTGGGAGAAGCTGAAGTGCATCAACCTTGCGAGGAATTGAAATGTACTCACTTCCCTGTTTCATTGTTTCATGGTAGCTAGGGTCAGGAGGGACCTGAACAGATCATCTAGCCTGACCCCCTGCCACAGGCAGGAATGAATGGTGGGGTCACAAGACCCCAGACAGGTGATCATCCAACCTCCTCTTGAATTTGCCCCAAGTAGGGGCGAGGACCACTTCCCTGGGAAGCTGGTTCCAGATTTTGGCCACCCTAACTGTAAAATATTGACTTCTGATCTCCAACCTAAACCTATTCTCCATCAGCTTATTACCATTGTTCCTTGTCACCCCAGGTGATGCTAGGGAGAAAAGGGCTCTGCCTATTTGCTGTTGATCTCCCCTGATGAGCTTGTAGGTAGCCTCCAGGTCCCCCCTCAGCCTCCTCTTGCTGAGGCTGAACAGGTTCAGGTCCTTCAGTCTCTCCTCGTAGGGCCTGTCCTGCTGCCTTCTCACCAAGCGGGTGGCCCTCCTCTGAACCCTCTCCAGGCTGGCCACATCCCTTTTGAAGTGTGATGCCCAGTACTGGATGCAGTACTCCAGCTGCGGCCTGACCAAAGTTGCATAGAGAGGGATTATCACTTCTCTGGACCGGCGCTGGCTTCAGTCTGGCATTGTCGGCTCATGTTCATCTTGGAGTCAATAATGACAAGGAATCCCGCCAGGTCGAGTATGACCCATCCGCTACCACTCTCTGGGTGCGCCCCATCAGCCAATTTTTTTACCCATCCAACTGTGCAGGCATCAATGCTGCAGTCGCTTAATTTATTGATTCGGATGGAGTGAGAGACAGTGTCAAAGGCCTTCTTAAAATCTAGAAAGACTACGTCCACAGCAACACCATCATCCAAGGATTTAATTACTTGGTCATAAAAGGCAATTAGGTTGGTCTGGCAGGACCTGCCTTTGATGAACCCATGCTGATTGCCCCTGAGCATGATCTCCCCTGCAGGCCCCCCACAGATGTGCTCCTTG